CCACTACAAAGACGACTATCACCCGTATAGCCTTCACAGAAGTTTGGGGCAAGTGCTGTTCGTGATAAATGCTACAAAGATCCCCCGTATAGCCTTTACAGACTGTTGGTGACAAGTGCTGTTAGCGAGTTCCACCTATGAAGGCAGGAACAGTACACGAGGGAGTGGGTGGCCAGCACCACGCCTGGCCGCCCTTAACCCTTACAAAGACAAAGATCCCCCGTATAGCATTAACAGACTGTTAGTGGCAAGTGCTGTTAGCGAGTTCCACCTATGAAGATACACGAGGGGGTGGGTGGCCAGCACCACGCCCGCTACTCTACCCCTCACACACACGCGCGTGTATCATTCGGGGCTGATAAGGAATCACTTTGGCCCCCACGGTACGGTAGATTGTGGTGGCACGATTATCTGAACCGGTCATGGACCTCCCCTAGATCCACTCAGCCTCGAATGAGTACCCTGTGCGATGTGTAAACATCGCCGCCGGGGAGACAAATACGGCCGCGGGGTGCGGGCCAGCCACCTCGTTGTGTGCCGTGCCGGCCTTCACAGGTGCTATTCGCCAACAGCTCTTGCCCCAACGTTATGCTGAGGCTATACGGGGGATCTTTGTTTTTTTTTTATTTGGTGGGACCAAACGATGGCCAGCTCTAACCAGAGCTGTACCCTGCTCTGCGTGTCTGTGCGCGGTGTGACATCGCTCGGCAGTGAAGACAGTATACGTTGTAGACTGTCTTCATCCTTAGCCCAGCGGTCGGCAACGGAAATAACAAGAAGTGCTATGTTTATTTTTTTCGAATTCGGTAACAAAAATAAAAAACCAGACGATATGTCAAGAGCCGCAATGCACACGGCGGTGGTGGTGAACGGGAGACGGCGGTGGCCCTCACCAAACGAGATTCGCGAAACGCTCCACGAAGAGCCGCCCGTTGTCGACCCCAGCCCTGCTCGAGCCTGGCGGCACGATGGCAAATCAGTCCAGGAGCCAAACGCCCAGCGTCGTCGTCTGCTAGGCACGACGAGAGGGCTTCGGCAGAGAGTTTGTGTCGCGTTGCCACTCCTCCCCCACTGACGGAGCGCAGGGCCAAGCCTGGATCGTGGGTCTCTCTGTGTGTCAAGTTGAGTCTCTGCACATCTCTATGGGTCTCCGTGCATCTCGCCGAGTCGCTGCATGCGGTATCTATCGGGGTTTCTGTGGGTTTACTTGATGGGCCAGTCGTGGTGCGCGTGGCCACAATGGCACTCCGCGCTGGGCCCGTCTTGTAATGGCCCCGCTCATCAACGAGATGGACCCATCGGTCCGTTTTGTGTGCCGATGCGGTTGATGGTTAAAACCACCACCAAAACCACCAACACCACCACCAACACCACCACCAACACCACCACCACCACCAACACCACCACCAACACCACCACCACCGCCAACACCACCACCACTAACAACACCAACAACATCACCACCACCAACACCACCACCAACACCACCACCAACACCACCAACACCACCACCAACACCACCACCAACACCACCGCCAACACCACCAACACCACCACCAACAACACCGCCAACACCACCAACAACACCACCACCAACAACACCACCACCACCAACACCACCACCAACACCACCACCAACACCACCGCCAACACCACCACCGCCAACACCAACACCACCAACAACACCACCACCAACAACACCACCGCCAACACCAACACCACCAACACCAACACCACCAACACCACCACCAACACCACCACCAACACCACCACCAACAACACCACCAACAACACCACCACCAACACCACCACCAACACCACCAACACCACCGCCAACACCACCACCGCCAAACCCACCACCAACACCACCACCAACAACACCACCACCAACAACACCACCGCCAACACCAACACCACCAACACCACCACCACCAACACCACCAACACCACCACCAACACCAACACCACCAACACCACCACCAGTGCCTTCGAGGAGGAATGTCAAAAGCCACGAGCAGATAGGCTATGGTGGCTGACTATTCCGTTCATCATCACCGACGAGGAGGTGTGCCACGGTGGCTGTCTCGTCTGTTCATCATCGGCCATGGAGACGGCGCTGAGAGCCCTCCGCGCCGTCTCGCGAGCGCCCTCCTGTGGGGCGGCGTCTGCGCGGGGCGCAGCGGGGCGGAGACGCCGCGGGGAGTGCGGGGGAGGGGAGAGGGGGGCAGGAGGAGAGCGATGGAGTCGAAGGGGCGGTGCAGGAGACACGGCACTCGGCGCGCGGTGACAGCTGACGAGCGACCGCGGGAGAGGCCGCGAGTCGCCGGGGCTCGGGACGGGGCCAACGAGCCCCGACTGGGGGGGGGGGGGGAGCTCGGGGCTCGCCTCTCCAATCGGCACCATTCCAGCGCGCACAGGCACGCGCACGTACGCATGAACAAAAACGCGCGCGTGGTATTCACGCGCGCGCGCTCGCGGATGAACTCACGCGCGCGGCGCTCTGTGGGGCTCAGCTCCCGGGGCGCCACGCGCCAAGCAGCGGCACCACCGAGGCGCCGATGTTTATGGGTGCAGTGGACGGGGCGATGCACGCACAGGCGGGCGCACGCAGTGCCACGCGGATACAGAGACCCACCACCCGCTATAGCCCGAGGCAGACGCGCGGTTATTTACCACCGGACATCGGGCCATCACAGACGTGATCCATGAACTTTGACGAGACTGTGGGGGCAGATGATGTGAGCGAGGACCCCAATTGCGCGTTACGCAGTCACGCAAAGCGCTGTTACGCAGAACCCGTCGGAATGCAAGGGTGCGCACTAATCACGCCAGTGCAGGCACACATACACAGTGCTCGTGAAGGTTAGAAGCACACGCGTGTCACTCCGAGGTGCAGCAGCACACACACGTGTGTCACTCCGA